AAAGCGACCATTACTGTAAGTGGGTTGTTGGATGGCTCCACTCAGGGAAGTTATTGCCTCTTTTTCTGTTACTTTGTTTGTTTTTTCTGTCTGTCCGACTAACTCTTCCCGTGCACTAAAAGATCGTTATTGTGTTAATGTGCAGCTCTTTACTAAAAACAAAACAAAAACAAAAACAAAACAAACAAACAAGCGAAACAAAAGAAATAAGCAAGTGTTCGTTAAATGCTTCAATTTCTAAAACCCGAATGTTCCTCAAATGTTTCTCTTTTTAACTTAAACAAGCAAACAAAGAAAACAAACAAAAACAAAACTCGCAAAATTAATTTTCATCGAATGGTTCTCTTTACTCAATTCAACAAACAAACAAAAGTTCCTCAAATGCTTTTCTTTACTCTGCAAACAAATTAAATGCTCCTCAAACTGTGTCTCTTTTCTCAAACAAGCAAACAAACAAACAAACTGTTTGGCGGGTGCTCTGGTGTGGGTTTTTTTATGTTTGTTACTCTCTTGCACAGAATTTTACCCTAAGTGTAGAATTCTTTGCTCTCTTGTAACACCTTTAAATCCTCTGGCGCTCATATGACCTTATGCCAGCGCCGTAAAACCTCTACTAGAACTAAAGAAGGGCTCTCCACCTGTCTCTGTTCTTTGTGATCTTCTCCACCTTCAGCCAGCTGTGCCCCAGGTATAGATCTGCCTCTGGATCTTGCTCCCAGGTGTCTCTCGGTCCCCAGATTATGCTTCCCTTTCCTCAGACGAACAAACCATTCATGTTCCTCTAAGGTGACTATGCTGGAATTCCACCAAGCAAACAAACAAACTAAGAGACAAACAAATAAACAAATGTTCCTCAAATGCACCTCTTTACTCAAGCAAACGAACAAACAAAAGCAAAGTTCCCCAAACCATGCTTTCCTCTCTTTAAACAAGCAAACTATTCATGCTCCTCAAATGTGACTATGCTGGAAGTCCAGGAAACAGACAAACAAACGAACGAAGAAACAAACAAACAAACAAATAAACAAAACCGAAACAAACAAACACTTGTTCCTCAAATTATGTTTCCGTTTCTCCAAACAAACATTTCGTGTCAGATATGACGATGCTGAAAGTCCAGCAAACAAACAAAGAAACAATCAGACAAACAAACAAACAAACACACACATATTCCTAAAGTCATGCTTCCCTTTCTTCAAACAAACAAACAATTCATGTTTCTTAAATGTGACGATGCTGGATATCCAGCAAACGAACAAACATACGTTCTTCAAATGCTTCTCTTTACTCAAACAAATAAACAAACACAAATAAACAAATACATATTCCCGAAGTCGTGCTTCCCTTTGTTCAAACAAACAAACAAACAATCCATGTTTCTCAAATGTGACGATGCTGGAAATTCAGTAAACGAACAAACAAACGTTCCGCAAATGCGTCTCTTTACTCAAGCTAACAAATAAAAAACAAACAAACAAACAAACAGACAAACAAATATTCCCTTAATCGTGCTTCCCTTTCTTCAAACTAACAAACCATTCCTGATCCTCAGATGTGATCATGTACAAACGTTCCTCAAATGTTTCTCTTTACTCAAGCTAACAAACAAACAAACAAACAAATATTCCCTTTATCGTGATTCCCTTTCTTCAACCAAACAAACCATTCCTGATCCTTATATATTATGTGACCTTGTACAAACGTTCTTCAAATGTTTTTCTTTACTCAAGCTAACAAACAAAGAAACATACATAGGCCTACATACATAAACAAACAAATACATATTCCCTAAATCGGGGACCTCTCGTGGTCTTGAGGTCAAGGTGATCGCCTCTCATTCAATAGGTCTTCGGTTCGAATCCAGAAAGCGACGAAACATTTTCTTCTCTAAAAGTATCTCCTTTCACGTCCTTTCCTGCTTTCTGACAATGTTCTGTCGTCTGCTTTCGTCTCTACTTGCTGTCCCCCGCCCCTCACCTCATTTGCGCCCTCTTCTGGGCTCCTAACTGTTTCTGCCGCCTTTCTACTGGTACTCCTAAGCTCTTTCTTACCACTGTCTTTCAGCTACACTCCTGATCTTACGGTAGGTAAAATCTACATCTAGCTTTCTTGGATAAGGGTAAAAATTCTCGGAGGTCCCGTGTGCAAATTGCGCTCGTTAAAGATCCCTTGGTTTTCCAAATTCGATAAGAGTAGGTTTCGGCTGCCACCCGGGCAAAATTAAAAATTTGCTACCAACTGAAAATGTTTAATTAGTGTGTCCCGCACGCTCATATTACCGTATGCTTTTGTGATCGCCGTAAAATTCACACACACACAAAAACAATTTTTAAAAAACCAAACGTGGGGGGTGGGCGGGTGCTCTGGTGTTGTTTGCTTCTTCTTTCCTATCAAACACATATCATTATCTCCCCTTCTTCTTTTTAATGCTTATTACTCTTTTGTAACACCTCTAATCTTCTGGCGCTCATATGATCTATGACCCCATGCAGTTGAGATCCCGTAAAACCTCTACTAAAGCTAAAGACTATTTAAAAAAAAAAAGATTTAAAAAAAAGATTAAAAAACCTACCACC